GGGGTGGGGGAGGGGAAAAGGGGCAGCTTGCCTGACGTTCTCCGTGACGATTGAGACCCTGCACTCTTCCTCCAGCTGCGTAAGCGCCGCCCTCTTCTTCCCGATCACCTGCAGCAGGTTTGGTTTCCAAGACGGCGTGAGATTCTGGTGGTGGGCCCAGACAAGCAGCAGCAGCAGCAGCAGCAGTGGCGGCGGCGGCGGCGGCGGCAACAAAACTCCTACTGGTAGATGGCGTTGCCACCGTCTTTTGTCCCAGCAGCAGTTGTGGAACCAGATTTGTTGGCTGGAGTACAAACGTCATACAGGTTGAAGCAACAGCGAAGCAGCTCTGGTGTCGCTGATCGCGCGTTGGGCAAGATGCTAGTTATCCCACACTGGGCACAACAAGCAGGCCATCAGACGTAGGCTTGCGAGGTGTTGTTGAGGATGGCAGCTAGGTGTTTCCGACGCCGTTCTTCGCCGTGCGAGCACCAGGCTCGTCGACAGGAGTAAGGTGCGTTCTCACCCAGAACGAACCTTTGGTTCCCTCGACAGGTTCACACTATGTTCGGCTGGAAGCACGCGGCAATACCTCTCTCTGCTCAGAAGCGCTACTGACACTTGATCCCCACTGCACGTAAGAAGGACGCTCTTAGTCGTTCGCCCTTCTGAAGCACAGCGTCGGGCAGGTGCTCTCCCCTACTGCTGAGCGTCCCGTGCACGCCTCGTCGCCCCCGTCGACCCGTTCGTGGTAGAAATTCGCGCATCAGCTCACCCGGGAAACTGGAAAACGAAGGGTGTGTGTTTACGTGAAGAGTGTGACAAGAACGATTCAGCACTCACTCTTCCGGTAGCCTCGCGGGGAACCTCGATGCTCTCCTGGGCTAGATCACGTGGGGCCACGCCGAGGCGATCTGCCAGCCGCAAGCGGCGGAGCCCCTGTCTCATTTCGGCCATCTGTGCGGTCTTGTCGCGCTTTTCTGCGAACAACACGGCGCGTTGGTCCTGCGGAGGCGGGTCACAACACCAACAATATGGGGGCAACGAATCGTCCAGCGTGGACAGCAGATTGTCAGGAATCAGCCCTTTGCGAGGAGAGAGCAAGAGGATGGGCGCTAGTTCGTATTCTTGTTGGTTCGTACACTGCTGTGTTAGCCGTGGTGCTTCCGTGCCCCAAACACCCCCAACAACGCTTGGAATTGCCTCTCCGCAATAGCGAATGTCCCCCTCCGTGAGGCACCTCGAATTTGTACAATCACTGCAGCTGTGTACCCCTCACGCGTCTCCTTGAGGCTCACGCCCCGTCCCGTGCGATGGCAACGTTCGCTACAGCCGGCAGGATGGCCCACACAACGGGGTAGCGCATGACCGATTAAGACCGACGCAGCATAGTCTGCACGCAGAGCCAGGACCAACAAGCCGTGCACCCGAAAACGGAAACCAACAGGCTAAGGTACGCAAGCAGCACAGACGAAATATATTCCAAGCACACACATTCTGACGCGCAAGAAACGTATGGAATCGATCGATCCTCCAAATGCTTCGGGGGCAACTCGTCTGTAGCCGGGTTAAGCAAACAAAGTTATGGAATCGAGTAACCGACCTTTAGTGCTTGCACGTCCTGCTGGGCCAATTCGTAGGCGGCCAGGTCTTTGAGGCGGGCCTTGATGTTATCCTTCCTGCGGAGGAGGGTCTTCTCATCCACCAGCTTCATGGACGTGGTGGTCAGCTTGGTGTCGATGGACCTTACCTCCGCCCGAAGCTGTAGTGGCGGGTCCAAACCGCGAGATTGAAATACCAGCAGCGGCGACAGCAGTAGCAGGCGGAACGAGTGGTTTCAGAGTTTTTCAGTCATCCTCACGAACGGTGGGAGTCAGCAGGTAACGGTTGGCCCATTGGCGGGGTGCGCTCTACAACAAGTTCGATACAGAGTTGTAGTGCCAGCCTTGGTCGCCACCTTCAAATAAGTACACACCATTACATCATATCTAAATCAATGATATGCGAGGGCATGGGTCCTCGCGCAGCAAACCTGACAGGCAGGGGGCGACGAACGACGGCAGCGTTGGCGTCACTTCACAGCCGTGCTACAGTATGCACACAAGGCTTCGTGTTTGCAGCACTACGCACGCTGTTGCGGTGTAGTCTATGCTGGGTATATCGATGGCGGCGGGTGCGACTCGGCGCACGCGCGCGCCAAGATTACGGCCAGGTAAGTCTGACAAGATGAAACCCATGAATGCTTGTCGAGCATAAACCGACATTACAGAGAGCAGAATGTGTGCGCCTGCCGCCCTAGTACAGCAACCAAGCCGGGCAGCCGAACCTCGCCCTTTCGTGTCCGGCGGATCCAGCGTGAACATGTTTCGACAAAGTGTACCCACGCTGTGGGAGAAAAAGATCGGAGATGATCCGGCAACCGCGCTGAGAGATCGCGATACAGCCTTGCCTCCAAGCGCAAAAAGTTCCATCACCATGCATCGCACAGCCGCGAGAATTATTGTGCCCACCTGATCTCCGTTGATGCCTGGTCTCTTAGGCAGACGCTTGATAACTGCCTCGATCTTGTCGTTCATCAGGACCCAGCCCTTTTCCAATTCGTCCACTTGCAACTCCATCGCTCCGCAGCGAGCTTCGAGCGCCATTTTTTTGCCCTACGCGTGTCCTTCAGCCACCGTAGGACAAAAGGGCGTGATCGATTGTGCGGACACGCACCCTTCTTGGGCAAGTCTGAGCTGTTGAAATGCTCTTTCCCTGCTCCTTCCTGCCTCTCCTGCAGTTTGCTGCTTGTCTGCTGTGGTGCCTGTCCTGCGCACTGTGTCTTGTCCCTGCTCCCCGCGATTTGCTTCGCAACATATGCAGGGTATGTCTCACAGCCAAAAAACCAAGAATATACGAAGGGGGGGGGGGGGTACACGTGGGTTCGGCAATTATTTTATGACTCACTCAAAAGAAATAATAACGGAACGGAATGATGGTCTGCTTCTTTCACCCAGGGACATTGACAGCAGTTGACAGCCCGCTCACTTCGAGCAGTCGCCGCCGCCGCTTCGGGTTCCGGCGTTACTACTGCTGTAGGAGAATAGAGTGACCCTCGGGGACGCGTACAACCGACCGCTGCTTTCGTCTCCAGCAACATGGGAGGTGGAGCCGACAAGAGGGTGAGTTGATCTTGACTGCAAGAGCGCCTGCTTTGAATTTGTTTGGACGGGAAGATACGGCGAATTGCAGGATGAGCCACCGCACCCAGGGCACACTACACCCTTCATGGCTACCCTTCAATCCCGGCCCAATGGAACAAGAGATAGAAGAGAGACGGGGATACAAGGTGGACGATCGATCATGATAAATACCATTGCTAATTTACGCTGTAGGCTACATACAATGGATATGGTGCCGCGGCTCGAAGGCGACAACAACTAACTGCTGTAACTTTGATGCCACAATCCGCTCAATATATTTCCACATCAATCTATCTCATGCTCCTCACATGTGTGTGCTCCTCATGTCTGCACCGTGCGCCATGTTTTACTCGCCGACAAGCAGCACGCCCTGTTGTTTGTAGTGTGATGTCCAGAAAATCCCCTCTCGGTTCTGCATATAGACCAGATGCTTACATCTGTAAGTGTAGACCAGGACGACAAAAAGTGCAACTTATTTCCACATCAGGAAACGCGGAGCCGGGTTGTGAACCTGTTTGCGGGACGCTCGGGGCGCGGTCTCAGCGTGCTCCCGAAACACCACTTGACACTCACTTGATACGCGTATACGTCTAGTGTGAATCCCCATGGTATCGGTCTGCATACATTCACGCGTTTCTGTATTTTGTTTGAGCTATACATCACGACCCGAGGGTCGTGTGTGGTACGGACGGCCCGAGAGGCCCACTGCTGTAGTCATGCGCGAGACGAAAACCTCTTTTTTTATTCCGCCCACTCTAGTCTTTTATGTGCGATTGCGCGATTGCCCGAAGTCCCTGGCATTGTTGTCTTTTATTTTACTCGAAACTCGAAACTGAACTAGCACGCCGCAAACAATCTTCTCTCCTCTAACAGGTATGTATGTAGGAGGCCAGGACGCAGCATTCCAAAGCAGTACAGACAGGCGTACAGGCGCACATGCAAGCAACACAAATAAATGCAGATAGAGATGGATTCGTGGTGTCATATTACGAAAATGAAAAAAAGCTGTGAGAACCGCCCGCCTCTTGAGGGGACGGACGAATGGGGCCCCCACAGGAAGATAGGAGGAACAAACCTAGGGGAACATTCTGGGATATTTCCCGCAGGAACTGCGAACAGCTTTTTTGTTTGTTGAGTTCGGTATTTTGGGGAGTTCGGTGGCAAGACGCGTCCGCGAAGTCGCGCTCCGCTCCCAACCCCAACCCACCCTTCTGTCTGTCTGAACACATTCATTCGATTACTCGCCACATTAGCCAGGGGGGACTGTGTATGTATCAGTATGCCTCCGCTGGCGGTCGTATCACATCATCTACAAAGACTCCAACACATCCATCCCGTGTATCTCGAATGGGTAGTCTTTCTGTGTGTTTATTTTTCCTAATACCTCATGTCGGGACTCATCTTGCGCTTTGTGTGGAACAGACGACGAAGAGGTATCTCTTGTACTGCTGTATGTTTGTGTGGTCCTCACATCTATTTTGCCGCCCATTCTACACACAATAATTGTTGTGTGTGACTTATCAGCCGGGGCCACATAGCAGGAAGGTCAGACGTATGGATACAAATTCCGAAGGGTTCAGCCGACCGAGGTGAAATCGAAGATCTGCAGTCTCTACTCACACGAATTAATTATTTTCCACCTTTACGAAAACATACGAGGAAAAACCCTCCGCAGGTAGGTATCGAGACCTTCATACGAAGTATTAGTAAGTTTAAGTAGGGTCAGCAGTAATAATGTAATTATTAATAGTAAATGTTATTAACTAAAGACTAAAGACACTTTCCTGTCGTACTCTGCTACTTGATCCGTCCGTTTCTTTCTCGATTTTCGGGTTCTCAGCGCAGGGTGTTGTTGTGGAAACGTTTCCATAGCCAAATATGGATGTTAGTGATAGCGTTAGTGCCGAAGTTCACGTTTCGTTAGTAGTGCAGTAGTGCAGATGGTACGGACGAATCGTTCATCGGCCGCAATCACAACTAACTCTCCCGCCGACGCGTTGTGTTTCTTAGAAAGTAGCGCCTCCTCTTGCCTTGCTCACCTAATACATAGGCGACCCTGACAGAGACACACGTTGCGCATACAATAAATTGGCTCTATTGGGGGAGGCTCTACGGTTCACTCATGGTGTGACGAGCACTCCCGCTCCCCGCTTGTATCTACCTCGACCAGGCTACGGGGAATTCCTTCCTCGGAGCGACCACCACGTGCTCGCCGGAAGCAGCGAATGAGGTCGACTTCGTCTACGGCCTCCCTCCCGGTAGCGCGACCGGCGGCTGTGTTGTCCAGAGGTCGTTCGAGGACGATCTCCGCGCTGGTCCCGGCGTCGCTTCGGTAAACGTGCACGTTGCCTCGGACCCGGCGTCCGCGAAACGCGTATTCGAGCTGCTAAGGCGGCAAGGAGAACTGGAGGAGAGGGGTGTCGGGTCGCCCTCGCGAGTCCTTATCATCGACGGCATTGCTCTCCTCTTCTTGCGGGATCGGCTGCACGAGCTGGTGGGGGGGCGTGGGGGGCCGTGGAATATTGTGGCCGGGTTTATCCACTGCCCTTTCAGGTGATTTACATTTTTTTTTCGCCGTCATTTCGCCGTAGCGGGGCCGCAATAAGTTGCTGTCAGCAGTTTTTTCCGCTCACGATGCTTCAGCTAGCAGTGAAGCAGAACAAGGGGGGAGGCAAGGGGGGTGGAGGTTGGAAGTTATACGAATGGATTTTCATTTTGTTTCTCGAGATGATGGCATGTCCGTGTCAGGCCGGGTTTTCTCACGAGCCAAATGGAACGGATTTCATACTCCTTCTCTTTACAGCACAAGCAATCCGCGCAATACGTGCCGCGGACGCGCGTTCCGGTAGCTGTCGCAATGTGGGAAAATACGCTCTCGTTGCGATGTCTTTTTCTCGACCGTTTGTTCTGTTGTTGTCGGCGACCCCCAATAATATCTTCCCTTGTTACTTTTCAATCAAAAACACGGAAATGCTCATGGTTTGTGGCAAATGGACGCTTGCCTCCGACCCCCCCTCGTTGCGATGCCGGATTGTTGCTATCATGACGTGCCGGTAGCGAGCCTTTCTACCGCGAGGAACCTTGGCTTAGAGTCGCGCTTCCCGAGCGCATGCTCCAGGACGAGAGCGGCGCGGGTATCCGCGCGGAGGAGCGTCGACTCTTCGGCCTGTTGGACAAGGTCATCGCCGTAGGAGCGCCCTGCCGCACCCTCTTGACGGCCGACTACGGCGTGCGGGAAGAAGCTATCGTCGTCGTCGAGCCCACGTTTACCGCTGTGGCACCGAACGTCGCTGTGGCCGCTTCTGCTCCCGCCGCAGCCGCCGCCGCTGCTGCCATCGAAGCGGGTGTCGTGCCTCCAGCCGCTTCGGTTGACGTCTCGAACGAGCGTCCTCCAAGGTTCGTGTCAGTCGGCACCCTGTGCCCTCGGAAGGGCCAGCTCGGTCTTATCGCCGCCCTCAGGGCCGCCTGCGCCTCACAGCCGATAAAACTAGGCGGCTCCGTGCTCACGCTCATCGGCGGCGAGGGGGCCGATCCCTCCTACGCCGAGGCCGTCAGGGCGGCGGCGGCAACCGCCGGGGCCGGCGATGAGAGTAGAGGAGGCGCCAAAGTAGAAGGACCGGGACGGTTGGAGGTGCGGCTGCTAGGGCCCTTGCCGCGGGAGGAGACCCTCGAGCACGTGGGCGCGAGCGACGCCTTCTTGTTGAACTCCTGTTCCGAGAGCTGGGCCGTGGCCCCGGTAGAAGCGGCCCTGCGCGGGGTGCCGGTGCTCTCCACGCGGGTCGGTTGGTTGGCTCAGTCTTTACCCGCCGAGTCGACTATATGGGTTGGTTCGGGCCGGGAGGGGCGAGGACCTGATTCCGACGGCGGCGGGGGTATCGTCGCCGGTGGCGACGGGGTCGGGCTTGCGTCGGCGACCGAGTGGGGACAAGCGCTTCTCCGGTTTGCGCACGCCCGGCAGCGGTTGAGAATCGAGGCGGAGCGTGCGGTGCCGGGCCTCGCTGAGCGGTTCTGCCGAGCGGTGGCGGCGGACACGCGAGGCCAAGCCGTCCGGACTCTCATGGAAACAACGACGGGGACAAGATGCACCCGTGCTTCTTGCGGCCGTTCTAATCTCCTAGGGGGATTTGAGCTGTCGAACGGACCTACTGATCCTTCGACCACCACCATTCCAGCCGTCACAGATCAAGAGCGGGTGAGAAGGGCCACAGTGAACAACGCGCTCGCTTGCGTGTGCGCGACCTGCGTCTCGATCAGCGGCGCCGGCGGCGCGGCGGTAGGCCTCGCGGCCCTGGTCGCTGCGCAGTGCCTACTGCTTGTCGGGCTGGCCCCGCCTTGCTCGCCGGCAAACCTCGTCACCGTTTTTCGGAGCTTCATTCCGCCGGCGGTGGTGTGGTTCATGGCTGGGTCGGATTTCGGCCAGGTGAGAGAACGAGAGACGCGGGAGAGAGACAGACAGAGAGAGAGAGAGGGCGAAGGAGAGAAAACACCAGAGTAGCTCCGCGTGTGCACGTTCGAGGCGTGAAGCCTACAGGGCGTGCTGTGAGCTATCAACGGTACTAGCGGACTTTGAAAATGGCACTTTTTCATCGTGCTTTTCCTTTTCTCTCCTGGAGGGATCTCTCCTTTCACTCTTGCTTTTGTATCAGGACCGGATGTGAGTGAGGCTCCTGCAGCGTTGTTTTTGTTTTTTTATCCCGCAGAGAGAGGGGACCACGATGTTGTAAACAATCAAAATGGTGGCTAGATGACCCAGCCCCCGTACATGGCATCAACGTGGTTTTACCACCCTCACACCCTTGCATACTGATTCATTCGCCTACCCTCGCATGTGACCCCAAGCATCACCGTTCTTCATGCAGGCACCAGTATGCACAGCGTGTCGTCGGTGTTGATCGGAACAGCGTGCGCCACTAGAAACGCCCCCCGCTCACCTCCATATTTTTCGTGGACATGGCGACCAAATGTGCATGAAACCCCGCTGCGTTTCGTTCCCAACGCGCGCTTGCCTGCTGCTGTGGAGCAGGTGTCGATGGCTGACGTGACTGTCTTCGGAGTGCTTTTCGTGCTGCTCGACGTGGCGGACGGTATCCTGGCGCGGCGATCGAAGTCTGGGCCCACGCGCGTCGGAGCGGCTCTTGATGTCGAGAGCGATTCCATCGCCGTGCTGTTCCTGAGCCTTGCGGCTAGCCAGAAGGTTGGTTGGAGTGTTCTCATTGGCTATTTTCGAAGGAGAATGTCATCATTCGAACAGCATCATGATCTTTCAGCAGTCGAAACCCACAGCCGGTATGTGTAAGTCTTGTTGGTGGGCAAGAGAATGGCTTCCTTCCACCAGTGTCCATGAATATGCGGCCCTGCGGTTGGCGGCGTCGAGTATTCCCGCACCGCAGCACTTTCGTAGATTCATCCCGACCCGTATTTGCGGTTTCAAGGGAAAGCTCTTCGTCGCTAAGCGGGATGATCCCAACACCAATCAAGCCTGCCACCACCCCCCACCGCGCCCACCCACCCGCTCATCACGACATCTACCCCCTTTTTTTTTTAATCGCCATGGTGCCAAAAAACAAAACGTGTAGCTAAGAACCGTTTCGTGTCCCCCCCCCCCGCTCCGTCCCTCTTGTGCAGGCGTGGCGTGGGGGGTTTATCGCAGGCGTCCTCCGGTACCTCTTTGTGTTGGCTACCGACGCTCGCGAGCTCCCGCCCTCGCCCATTGGCCCCGCCGGGCGGTGGGTCGCCAAAATCGCCGCTCTTGCTAGCGTTGCTGCTCTTGCGGCCTCCGTCGGAAACGGCGCCTTAAGGAACGGCGGCGGTGGCGGGGATGCCGACACGGCGGTGTTTGAGCGAACCGGAGGGAGGGGTTGGTGGGTGCGGGGCGGGGCGGAGGGTTCTTCCCCTTTGCTGTGCGCGGTCGGAGTGGCCGTGTTGTGCGCGTCATTTTCGATCGACTTCTTTCAGATTTGGGTCCTGTTGCCGCGCGAGGAGGCGGCGGCAGCGGCGGCGGCGGCAGCGAGCGCGGTCACGAATGAAACCGTCGGGAATGGCAGCGTCCTCGGCGGGGCGGACGAGACCCCTTCGACCAAGGCGATCGCCGCCGTCGGCGAGGAGGGGGCGGGGAGGGAGGGCGCCAGCAAGAACGCCCTCAGCAACATAACGGCGGCGATATATGCCGCCGAAGGGAGCGCACCTAGCCACGGCTAACGGAGATGGGACCCCTAAAGATCGGTGGGCTGTGCGTGCCGACCGGCAAGCGCTCGGGTTCTGCGACGGGCATAATCGAAACGTCGAATCGCTGCGACAAAGGAGGACGGTGGGGGCTCCGGAAAAACGGCAGCGGCGATACCGGTATGTTTTCTTCTGCGATGACTTGTTACATTATTGAGAGATTTCCGACGGCCTCGGCGAAAATGGCTTTGTTGGTTTCAAGGCTCTCGGGCGGATACTGTCATTGTTGTCTTCTGAGCAGTTTCAAGTAAGTTAAGATATGTTTTAGTTTGATTTGCGGACGGGACTGTGCGCCCTTGCTTTCGCTGAGAACAGCCAGCTTGGTTCGGGTTGTAGAATATTGCGGACATGTTTTTGTGAGATTAACCAAGGGTGATTTGCTACATTGCAAGTGTGTTAGCATCAAAACAACTACGGGGTCGCTGTACGTGTACTATTTAGGATACCCGACGGTCGGTATGATCAACGGAGCCTCAGGGGGCGGATTCTGATGAGAATCGAGCATAGTTGTTGGAACAGGGAGGCTGTTACCAGAAAGCATTGGAACCATGACAGCAGCATTTTGTTATTGAGGCTTTCCCAACATTGCTTTCACCTCCTCTGTCGGTTTTCCATCATCATTAGTTTGACGGTGTACTTTTTCTGGACATGGCATTGAATTTTGGTGTTGGAGTTGTTTTTCTTGAAGAGGATTGTCTGGACATGTTTGGTATGATTTGAAGGGAAAAAAGCAGATTATCATGTATTCATTGCAGGGCGTTTACAACCCTTGACACTTAGATTGGTCGCCAGGACTTGTTCGTATGGAACACTGTGTTGTACTGCGGAAATTTGTTTAAATAAATGAGCTTGTTTCTGTTCTGGATTATCATGTTTAGTTGGCTATTTCGGCACGTTCGGGTGGGGACATGTATTGTGTTTGATGATCTCCGCCTACAGCACCACCTCCTTTTTCGTGTTTGTCGTGGTGTACGACTGTTTTTTGTTCCGAAAGCCCGTGCAGTGTATCGTCTCGGTCCTATGTGCGGTGTATTCGCGCCGCGGCGCGTCCATGTGTGTACAGCTGTTCCATTCGGTGTTGCGCACATTTGTTTGAAAGGCGTTATGTCGTGGAGATTGTTCGGCTTGCACGGCGTGTCGCATTTTTTTCGCGCGCTTTGATCTGTGTGTGACACTCCCTCCCGTTTGTATTGCTACTATGATTGATTGTGATTGTTAGAGCGTAGCTTTGTTTATTAAATTTGTTTGTGCAGGGGCGCGGCAGGTTGCGTTGCGAGTGGACAAGGGCATGTCTTCGATCTCTTCATCATGTGAAGTGATTCCGTTTAGGCCCTTGTGTGCCCTCGTTGCCCCCCACAGGCATAGGCAGATAGAGAGTATTGTTTCGCCTTCTGTCAGTTGATAGTATAGGGCCAAGTTGACGTGTTGTAGTGCCCGCCGTCACCCAGCTGCTTGAAACTTCTGGTGGCGTCAAGGACGCCAAGACAAGTGATTGGCGGTTGTCGTCATCATCTGATATGGCGGACGGCACGGATGTAATTTATTGTCTCAGCAGTGTTGTTCTGTCATTAGCGCGTACGGGATAGGGATAGTCGCAGGCGTGGCGAGCCGACCACAAAAAAAATGGTAACTAGCGTAGCGCCTGTATCTGTTTGCGGGACGGTGCAGGTGGTGCAAGGTCTCGTTGCTTGGTTGAGTGGATCGCGCACATGCGCGTTACTTTTGGCAAAGATTGTGGTCTTTCTTTCGGAAGAATCAACGTGACAGCCGACAAGCGCGTCACAGGACAGCGGGGTGTAATTTACGTTCTGGCACTACGATCCACACGTTTAGCTTAGGGGGAAGCACAACAATCCCGTTACTCTTGGCGCCTCACGCGTGAACATGATCTGCCACAAGTATGCGCGGTACCGACACTGTACAAGATGAGGATTGTGCTGGCTTTTTCCTCCCACAAATTGAACTACAAGTATGGAGCAGTGATTCCATCTTCGTGCTCTCCAAGGTGGTTGATTGCGCCTGCCCCGGGGATTTTTTCCAAACTAGCACAGGAGTACGTGTTGTACCGTCGTGGAAAGCATCAATGTGTGCATTCATTTTCTCACGGCCGAATTGAACGAATAAAACAAGTTGGCTATCTCGTGCAAGAACAGGGCGGTTTGCCTGAATACCAATCGCGGGGCCCCTCCGTCCAGCCTAGATAAAACGTCGAGGTAGCCGCCCTCTCGACCTATGTTGCGGATGTCTACTTCGCAGGAAGAGAAGAAGGCCTCCCTCAAGTTGTAACTCCCACACACCAACGCGTTCAACAGCTTTGCGTATGAGTGCAAAAGCACTGGTGCACTCGACAGAAATCCTCGAGGCGAAGAAACTTGAGATTCAAAACACTGCGTCGCCGAGGGTGGTGGAGGAGACCCAACGCTATTTCCACCTCCCCGCCGCCCTTCCAAACCTACTAAGCCACCTAATAAGCCACCGCTGGCGTTGTCTACATCACTCTTCTCTTGTTTGGGTACGCCCGCTCGAGCTGTGGTCTTGCTGGCACTCCCGCTGCCGCCTTCCAAAATATAGTTTGTCCTGACGTCGCTGTTATCGTTGATCGGTGGAAGTCCTACTGGTGGCTCGACGGCTGGCGATGGCGGAGACAAGGGCGGGGTTACCGACCTACGGGGGCGTGGGGAGAGAGAACCAAGCCTAGCGAAAACGCTCCTCTTCTTGCCCTTGTTCTTCTCGGAAGTGGGCGAGACGCTGACAGGTCCCAGTGCTAGCAACCTTGCTTCCTCCAGCTGTCGCCGTTCTTGCTCCCGCCGATCGAGGTCCTCGATAAGGTCGACGGCTCGGTCGTTGACCCTGACGACGAAGGCTAGCGCATCCGAGGCGGCGGGTTGGATTCCCACGCGCACCTTGACGCCGAGCCCAACGCCCACTAGGTTCCGAACAATACCCAAGTGTTCGTGCTCTATGTTGAACAGGCTGACAACCTGGGACGTGAGGGACGCGTCAAAGAAGGATGAGGTCCGTGATTTCGGAGTGCAGGAGCTGAGACAGCGCATCAGTTGACCGGGTTCAAGCAAGGCTGTCGCCGTTGGGAACTCATGGCTCGCTCTCAATAAAGGCACAAACGTGAGTGAGCGGAGGGAGACAACAAACAGAAGTTTGGAATACTCACGTCGCTTATTCCGTTGAGTGCCCGAACAACACGGTCCAGGACGCCCGTGGACAAGGCGTCCAACGGCGACATCGCGTCTTCCGCCAAACGCTCAACCCCCGCCGGTGAGAAACCTTTGAGGTCGTTTCTGCCTCCAGTGTCGATGTCACTGTTGTCGGCCCCATCCTCACAATTCGTCACTATTCGACGGCACAAGGCACAATAGACGAAGACGAGGTGCTCGGCTACGGCTGGAAGAGACATCGGCTTCGGCCGTCCGACGAGATCGATCCTTTGTGGAATCTGAATGCTGTGAAAAAATGCTGCGTCAAGGACGGCGGCGGTGGCGGAGATCAAGCGAGCGTCCGAAACCACCGCTCGCCTGCCATCAAAGCCATCGTGACGGAACGCAATTTCCCCTGCTGCGGTATTGACCGCCGAGCCCGCGGCAACGGTAGCTGCTGCCGCCTCTAGTCTTCTAGAAATTTCGAAGAAGATGTCACCCGTAGAAAAAAACGCCTCCTTGACCACAGCATCCAGTATCATCTCGTCTGCGAGGTCTTGCATGAGTTCTACCTGGGCGTCGACCTGGGTGCCATTGTGCGGACATCAGGAGTTCAAAAGCAAGGAACAAAACAACGCTGTTTTGGTCTTCATCATAGTTGAAAGTAGGTAGGTCTATCAGGAACACAGTGTCATCTCCTTCAACGGTGTTGACGGCGTATCGGTGCGGGGAACACACCCAAGCGAGGTGGCATTGCTGACGAGGCAACTCTTTCACGCCCGTGTGGGTAAATAACACACCGGACCCCACGTCCCGAAAGCGCTTAACAGAGTCAACACAAAGCCGATGAGATCTACAATTTTTTTTTTTTGTCATTGCACTTGAATCCGTCGGATGATACGGCTGCGTCCGATTCTACACACGCTTTGAACAATCGGTCACTGTTAAGACAAGGGCCATCCCGCCACCCCATGGCCGGCCAGTGCTTGTACCCCAGGCTGGACCACAGCCGCACTCACGGTCCCTTCGGTTTGCAGCACCTGATCACGAAGAGGTCCCGTCATCACCTCCAGAACACCCGCGAGGTAGCGTTGCGCGGCCACGGGGGCGCACGACAGCAGCTCCTTCGCACGGGTTCCAACGCCGTTCCTGATGGCCCAGCTCTCGCATGCGACCACCAAAAAGTGTCGGAGGCGACAAATGTCCTCGAAGCCTACGAGCAGAATATGGCGATGTTCGTCTGCTCCGGAAGCACTCGTCTCAGGCCCCTTGTCAGCAGCAGATCCAACCGCCGATTCGCAATGGGCAAGCTTCTTGGCGGCGGTGATGCGGAAAGGTCTGGACACCATGTTGGCTTGAACGGTTCGGAATGTCTTGAGGTGCTCCCGCCCGCCGACAGGGGCAACGTCAACGATCGAGCCGAGAGGAACCTCCACTATTCGGTCCGAGATGTTTTTCTTCCCCTTCTTGAAACCATGGAGGACCCCACCGATGAACGACGGATCGCGCAAGGGCAGGAGGAAAAGGCTCCAGTTGGAGAGCGCCGCGAGGCAATGGGCTGTTCATATGTTCACGGCATTACGGGTGTACCGTATGACAGGTAATGCATGCGGGAGAAGACGAAATTTGCTTTGTAATTTTCCGACAGAGAAACGTGGTCAATGCTGAGCTAATTACACTACAAGTAGGGCACTTCTTCCATCTACAGCTGACGAAAATTTTGTTACATCGGGGGGGTGCATGGGCAAAAGTGGAGGAGAGCTATCTATCTACAAATTCCTTCGTTTAAGCTATGCAGAGGGTGACGACGCCTTGTCGCCGCTCTGTCCCTCGAATACGATGTGCGCATGCAGATATGTTGATGAAGGGCAAGTGAGAGCATGACAAAAACAAGAACGGCATTTATCACTCTACGACACTTACAGCAGACTTGCAGCATACCTATGTAGATAGCGTACAGTAAGTCGCATAAGATACCACACCCCCTGGGCCGAGTTTCAAAGCTCGAGTACTCCCGACGCGACGTAGAGGATTCAAAGTCAAATGATATACATTGTCGGCTCTCAACGAGACGGTCCCCACACCACCATTAGGGGTGTTATCACTGCTGTTTATGCTGCAGAGTAAATGGACTTTGAGAGTCGATCCAGGAGGTGTGGTGTCTACTGCGACCTACGGTACGTTGGTACCTCGCTCCCCCGATGTTTTGACCCAAATGACCCCCTCCAGGTGGAGCAGAGGCGAGTGGCCGAAGAAGCGTAGCAATTCACGAGCAGAATCCAGGCACTCGATCGTTCCGGCCCCTTTGCTCGTCTGTAGCAGTGCCGGCGAAGCCCCTTCAGCTGTTTCTCGCTTAGAGTCCTGTTTGTCGGCATCGTGGACAACTGCAGCGAGGAATGCCGAGACAGCTTCCATACATCCACGTTCATCCTGGTCGTTTTCTTCATGTTCCAGAAAAAGGGAACGTTGCATGGAAGAGCCCTCTTTTTTCAGCGGGCCCGGGTTAAACTTGGTGTCACCATCCCGGTTACAACTGGTATCACCGCCCGGCTTCGCCGTGCGTGCATTCTTTTTCGTGGTGAAGCTTGTTTCCGCCGTTGCGGTAGCAGGAGGAGCACTCTCTTGGACGTCATCCCTTGAGACGGCAAGGGTTCGAAGTCTCGATAGCTGCCTCATCTCCGGCTCCTACTCAGCCTAGCAGACAAGCATTGACACACAGCAGGACGTGCAGCAGTGCGCTCACTTTGTGTTGTCGTGACGTACGAAGTCCAGCAATGTAACAGCAGTGTCAGCTAGCACCCAGACAGCCGGACAGCGGACAGGATGACGGGCTCCGCAGTCCGCTGTTTTACCGAAACGGGAGGTAACCCCCCGCATTTTCGCTCGCCTCTGTATGATAACGCCTCATTTGTGGAAAACAGAGCCCCTGGACGTACGTGAGTGGATTTGCGTTCAAGCCCTCGCCCTGAAAAAGCATCGTGAGCCGTGTAAATAGCCCTCTCTCAACGGTTTAGCTTCGTCTCGAAAACTACCCTCCACATCAAAATGAAGGCTGTCTTTGCTCTGTGCGCGGCGATGGTGGCGGGCGCCCAGGTGCGTTGTAAGCTTTCGATTTTCTATACTCCGTATGTCATGTGCGTGCGTGTGGGGTGAAGTTTGTTTTCATGATGAGTACGTGTGGAGAGCTACGTGTGTGTCTCGGCTGCCCGCCGGGCTGACACCCAACCAGGGTTGGCATGCTGGGGCTCACCGGACAGCCGCGTGTGCGATATTCTCCTGTGCCTCTCTTTCGTGTCGAGTGTTGCGTTTGGGATCGCGTCCGAAACGGAGCGAGTTGGCAGCTCGGCACATTTCGTTGAGTTTTTGACCCCTCTCCTTTTGTCTTGGAAAAAGAAGGCAACAAGGGTCCAAGCACGGACTCGAACGGTTTGATGTGTGTTGAGGCGAAGGAGAGGGCCGCTGGGGTGTTTCGCCGTCTCAGCAGACACCATCGTACACCTTCAACTTCGGTGCAGCTCCAGACCCACGGCTGCCCCTACGACATGAAAACGATGCATGCAAAAACCACACAGCAAAGCTGCGGTCCCATGCCAAAGTGCCTTGCTTGATGTGTCCGCATGCATCTGCTGTTGCTGTCATCGTGGGAGCCTACCCAGTGACTCCGTCCTCGGTACATGAGTACGTTCGCTGGGGTATCATTTGAACCCTGCCCAGAAGGTTTCATATTCCAATTGCTCAGCGATAGCCCGAATTACACAGCGGTGAATTCCTGTTTGGCGTGTTGCGTGACATGCTACACAACCAAACACCTTTTTTACGGTAAATTCCTATGTAAGTATGTTGTTCAACGTGCCCAGCCACTCATGGTAGGTAACTGGACATGGGATCGGCGGGGGCCTGAATCAACGACGCATGAATTATCCGAACCGCCGATGTCATGTTCGTTCCCTGAAAAAGCAAGGCAACACTTGCCTACATGCACCCATACTGCCGGCCCACGGGCGGCGTTTCACAGCTTATGGGTACATACTGCATACGGCAATTCGATGCCCAATATGTGTGCCGGCTGGCATCGCTGATCCTGGTGTACAGGCTTTCTTTCAGGCTCAAAGAGTGTCTAGTACCCAGGAGGGTTTTCTCGCCACTCGCTGCTGTAAAGACTTCCAAGACATGCCTTCGATTGGGTATTATCTCGAACGGGTAGTCTTACCCATCTCTGTGTTGTGTGTGATTTGCCTTTGAATGTTCGCTGAGAGCTGTTCAGATTCACCCCTTTTGGCCAGTACTTCGAAGTATCAGCTGTTGCCTCCAAACCTTTGAAGCGTCCACCGCGCAGTAGTGGGCGTGCGCGTGAAGCATGTGCTTGCGTGTGAACGCATGCGAAACCCGATTTGGTTGTTGACAGCGGGAAAGCGTTTGCTCATCCGATGATTGACGGCTGACGACATGCATCGAACAGACAACTATTCTTCGTGGCCCCAGATCGTATCATAGCTCCTCTCACTGGAGAAAAGCCACAGGCGGTGTGATAAGGCAGAAATCCCATTACTGTAGACAGTATGCATGCCGTTGTTTGTATTCAAAAAGACTGCATGTTCTTTTTTGTTTATTCCTTAACATGACACAATAAATCCATCTGTATCTACAGAAAGAAGTCTAGTAATTTTTTTTCTTTTCCTTCTGTTTGGGTCGTTGAGGTTTGCTGGGCTGTTGGAGTCAAAAACACGTCATTTTGCGTGAGCTTGGGAAACGTCACACTGCAGCTGGCAGCTAGCTAGCTGTGGGATGGTCCTGCTGCCTGCTTTTTTGTCATCTTGCATCACCGCTCATCACACTGTTCTCACCAGCCCACTCCGGAAGGATCAATTTACACTTTTATTGAAGCGTTACAAATGGCATGTACGTTTTTGTAAGTGGTTCTAGAGTTGGTTGGAGGCGGTCCGTCCCATGTCTCCGTCCTCTGATGCTCAACAGCTTGTAGGGGGCGGGGGCGTTGTGCATTTTCGGAAAGAACATAATGTGCCTGCACGGGGTTCGGGAGAAACAAACGATAAAACTTGACTTCGGTCTCCTTGATGGAGAGTTTCATCAGGGCTCGCACACTCACCAACGTTATGTATTTGGAGATAATGTTGCGATGTTGATCAAGATTTTCTATAAAACACAGAGATTGTGCACACTGCTGTACCGCTGCCGTCAAATTACGAGCTGGCAGCAGCAGTTTTGAAATTTGTACTGCTCAACACAAGAAAATTGGGAGTTCCCCACGAGCGCTGATAGCACCTCCAAAGCAGTTTCGCGTTGTATGGGCGGCATCCGCCCCCGGACATCACACGGCGGTTGTCCACCGCTCATTGGATTTGCTGCCCTGCGCTATCTGCGGACTAGCTGCCCCCTTTTCCCCCCGTGTGAGGCCTGTTCGTTGGTGTTTGCTTGAGGTGTCTTACGCACATGTCACCCGCGCTACCTTTCGGCCAAATATATTTTGCGGGAGTGACTGCTCTGTCTTGTGCACGAAACGTCCGGTACTTGATCTTCACTCAACAGCACCACTGGCTACCTTGAAGTCCCTCTGGAGCCACCTCATAAATTTGTTCGATGAGAAAAGAACAAGAATGCAACACTGCCAGAGGTCGAATTTTTTCTGTGTCGTTTGTCGTCCAGTTTGTTCTGGGCGTCAGCCTGGAAACCGTTTGGTTTACCATGGGTTGTTGTGGATGCACCAGCCGCAGTCTGGCCCTGTCTTGCTCCCGAATTCGCACGACCACGCTCGGCTCCCAGAGCAAAGACTTGATTATTCCGGAAAGATCCACAGAGCTCTCGGAGAAAGAGAGAACACCTCGGTTGTGTTCTTGTAAGGAGACAACCAGAAAAAGGTGTGGTCTTGTCTTGTAACTACAGCTTCTTTTCAAAACCATACCTATCGAGGTCACCTTCGATTAGCGTAACAATGACGCCAGTTAATCCAGCCCGACGTCTTGTGGCCCGTAGGTGGTGTGCTCACGAACGACCCTGGCTCGCGAGATACAGTGAGACATGCCACGGCCTCTTTTCGCAGCCGCGCGCCACTTGGCGATCGTTTTATCGTTTTGTGGCAAACGAAAACTCGCAAGCGGCGCACGTCGAAGTCCTTGCGGTGTTCGATGCAGCTGCTGCTGTTGGTCAGCATTCCGTGAAGACGTTCTTGTCCTGGCGGATTAGCCATGATGCCCGTTCCGTTGCGTGGTGTTCCAGACAGTGTGCACGCACGCTCTCGATCTCATTGTGCATGTATGGTAGCCTTGCGACTTGGACCCAAACACCTCTTTTGCTTCAGACGCGGGTGAACCTCTCCTCCTTGCTATTTCTTGTTGTTCTCCTTCACTTCTGAACCTTAGCCTACGAATCCAGACCGAGAGTTCAGCAAGTGCAATGAGGCTACTGTCATCATTTCGCTCGATCGCACCGAGAGTTATTACCCGGCTCGTTCCATGCCTGGGAGCCCGAGTCTGGTTGTGCAGTTCCAGTTTTCTGACCCAGCTTCACAAAAATGAAAATCTTGTCGTTCCTTTCACAACAGTAGTGCTTGCCTCGGTGTTATCGCGGGAAAGACCCAGCCGTTCCGTTCCGTCTTGTTTGTATGGTTGGGGTTTGGCCCGCCAGCGGTAACAACTTGTTCATTCTCAATGTGGACTTGTGCTTTGGAAGAATGCGCGTATTTTGTGCGCACGAACCTGGAAGCACGATTTGCAATCAACCTCGACATGATCCTCACAGTCCGCATGCCCATCATGTCTGATTGTGTGGCCCCTATTCCTCCACTCATGTGTCTTGAAAACTGCGTAAGCTTACCCATCCACCGCGCGCGCCCCCGTCTCGAAACAGGCGTTCGTGCCCACCACGACCGCCTTCAGCGGAGCCCGCGTGGCCTCGCCCGCCTCCGCGTCCGCCGCCACCACCACCCCTCGCATGGCCGCGGGTAGCTTCAGCGTGTTCGACAACGCGCAGGCGGAGTTCGCGGCGGAGTTCCCGGAGTACTCCAAGTACGGCTGGGGCCCCACCGCTAAGGCCGAGCGGTGGAACGGGCGCCACGCCATGTTCGGGTGGGCGGCGATCATCGCGACCGGCTACTGCCAGGCGCACAACCTCATCCCCGACGCGGATGTGGCGCTGGACCCCAAGGTGGGCACCCGCCGTGTTTTGGCTGGTTGTTGCCGGCGGTTATGTTTTCTTGGCGCTGCGGATGTGCACAAGGTTAAGGTTGCCCCTCCCCCCCCCGGCCTGGGTGTCATTGCCGAGCTCTGCGAGGGGGGGGGGGAGAGGGCGGGAGGCGTGTTGGGCAAGCTGAATGTACTGCGGTATGTGGTTGGTTGATGGCGCGGTAGGCGGAGCTAGAACTGTCCCTTGAGCCGTTGCTTGAATTGTCGGGGGCGGCCGGGGGGGAGGGCTAGGGCTAACCGTGCCTGGATGTGTCTGTGTCCACTCCCGCACAGGTTTGGGTGTTAGTTGGCCACATCTCGAAATTCTCGTGTGGTTAAAAAAGAACAACAGAACGTGTTTTTCAGATGTAGTGCCTAGCCCTGACCCCAGACTTGATCCCTTAGCTCTTAGTGATGTCGTAGTCATGATCTCGGGGCGAGCCACACCGACCTTCGCTGGACAAACCCTCACGCCCATCCCTTGCATTGGATGCTGGACCCCCGCTGCATATGACGCATGGCAGGTGTGGGGAACCCTTGCCTACACCACGGGCACCGAGACCATCACCAACGAGAGGGCCATCATCATGATGGGGCACGTTCACGCGCTGGCCGTGTCCGTGTGCGCGACGGTGGCACCGCTGTCCTTCCAGGACAAGCTCTTCCTTGACGTGGACGCCGGCGAGAAGGACGCCCCTGCACCGGGACTCATCCCGTCGTTCGTGCCCGGCCTTACCCCGGAGGCCGAGATCTTCAACGGCCGCATGGCGATGATGGGCCTCGTGGTGACGGCGACCACCGCGCTCACCACCGGGCAGTCTTTCCTCGAGGTCGTTAACGCGGGCCTCGGCGGACTCCTCATGTAAACGATTTTGTTTTGTTTTTTGGGCTGATTTGAAACAAAAAAACTCGAATTTTTTCACGTTTTTTTTTCTTCTTGTTCTTGGTCTTTGACAAATACCTGGTAGCATTTATCGCGCGGCTTGCAGGGGGCGGGGCGGTGGCCGGCGAAGGAAACTAATATTTTAGCGATGGCGGCGGCGGCTGCTGCTAATGCTCTGCTGGTTGTTGATGTTGCAGGAAAAGAAATAGACATGAGGAGGTGCGGGTGAGGAGAACGCTTGTCGTGGCGTGTTTGGAGTGTGATTGCCGGGAGGCCTATGTGTCTCGGCAGCCAGTCACTTTGATGACCGATTTAGCACCTTCGGGCGAAGAACGGAGGTTACGCGAGCGAAGAAGTCTGTGCCCCCCTTGGTCCCTTCTGGCCACGCGAGAGGCGGTAGGTACCAAGGGTTATTTATGAAGTACGGCTGACTCACCGGACTACCGCCGTGGAATTCTCTCGACCGGTGTTGTTGCCGAGCTCTCGTTCATTTATCCATTACTTCTAGTAGTCGTTTGGAGAGCGATGAACGGGCTTTTAGAGGCAAGGGGCGGGAGTCGGGGCGAGTTTTGTGGAGAACATCGAGCGTACGTCAAGTTATACATAGAGGCGTTTTTAGAGGCTAGGGCTGCAGTTGTCTGGCGTTGACCCCCCCCCTCCCCCCCCCCTCCAACCCTTGAACTCGTTTGTGGTTGGTTAATGCCTGGCTTGGCCGGAGCTTGTCTCCTCGTTTCTTGTTTTGCTTCTCGCTGGCGCTGTCTGCCGGCGGGTTCTTGACTTGGTTTCTGTCTCGAAAGGGAAAATCCTGGTCTTAAGTTATTCCTGCGTCACGTTGCTGTCCTGCAGAGACGAGCTAGATTCGGAGAATAATAAGAAAAAAGTGACGATGAAGACCGAAGAAAATGGTTGCCGGGTGCGAAAACCCTCTGCGCGACGAGGCTGGCTGTGGACGCCTGGCTGCCTTCGTGACAAATGAACGGTGGCAATGGAGCCACTGTGTGTACATTTTAGCATCACATCATCACGAGAGGCTTTTCCCGTTCGAGGTGATTGTCTGCGAATTCGTTGAAGTCTTGCAGCAACAGTGAGGGTCGAGGGACACCTGCTTTGACACTGGATGAAGTTCAGTTTTACTTGGGCACCCCACACCGGAGTTTCGTTCCTCGATCTGGAGGTCAGAGGTTACCCTGTGTAGTTGTTTTTGGGCACGCGTTCTGGAGTTGTGTAAAGAGCGGGCCCCGAAATATCCATCGCTGTGCTACACCTGATGCCGTCAATTCAAACCAGACTCTTTGTCATGCGGTTTCGTGGAGGACGCAGAAATCGACCGTCCGGACAGGATGCGGCGAAACTTCAATAATACTGGCTGGCCCCAAGCTCCTCTGCTTCGTGCCTGTCCATAGCCGGAAACTATTATGTATGCAATGCCGATCGATTCATGCATGTCGAGAGCTTTGGTTGGTTGTTCGTGGAACGTTCGCAAACGTTCGTCTTGCAACACGAAGTACTCCGAAATGCTCTAAGACACGTACGTGTGGCGAGGGGACATGAAGGAGAAAAAACGGAGCAAGCAATGATCAGCTTGAGCTACTCCTCTTTCTTCCGCCGTGGATCGATAAAACGGATTCGCGTTGTTCTTCTTTCATCTCCCCAAGAACTAAATAATTGGGGTGCCGTGTGATCTATACATGCTGTATACGTGCTTTTGGGGGGGGGGGCGATCAGGTCGTTTCCTCTGTTTTCAGACCGTCCATCCAAACGATCTCCCGCACCGTTTGCTGCTGCTCTACCCGCCGGGGGAGGAGGTCGTTAGTCAGTAGTAGTGCGGACACGAACGGACCATGGTTTGCGCTCGTTTTTCCAAACGGTACTGCCCCTGTGTCGCCCCCCTCCCCCAACCTCTCGGCAAGCGCGCGCGTGGTTCATTTTGTACGCTGCATATGGATGACATTCCCGACTACCAATCGACCACGGAGGATGGTTGCCGGAAAAAAAAAAAGCGTGTCCGGGGTTCGAATCTCCCCTTTCGCGTTTCTTTTTCCTTCGAAGATGTTATGTGCGAAAAGTCTTCGACTTCGCAAAATTGCCGATGAATCTCTTGTGTACCAAGTGGTCAAGACACCGCTGATCACAGGAGGAGGGAGGGATGGCAACCCCGGGGGGACGTGTGCGTGGCTTGAAAGAGAGCTTGACGGACTCGGGTGTCAAGAAGCACGATGACCGCTAGACCAACAGTCAGCGTAAGATCAGCTGCAGAAATTCCCTTGGCAGTCTTGCTGCCCTCAAGCGATACCCGTGGCGCTTTCTATAGCCTCCTCGTTGCAGCGTCCGGGCTCGCATGGCCGGTACGGATCCGCCCTCACGTTATTCGAGCTGCCGCTGAATCGAACACTGTTTCCGCTCCCGTGAAAGGCTTGGTCTCCAGGGCCATAGCCGACCTAGGACGTTCTTCTCCGAACGGTATCTCGTCATCGGTCAGGAAACTCTTACTCCTTTACGTAATGAAATTCCAGCGAGCCCAATCTGTGCTGCTTCTTCTCCTTCAGGGATGCCTGGAGACTGGTTGCTGCTAGTGACGAACCCACTGCTGCTGTGAATCGTGGGTCTCGGTGTATCCTGCACCTGAATGTGATCGGCAGCGAGCTCATCTGTTTAGTATCGCTACTGCAGGCACAATCGGCACCTTCTTGTTGATAGCAGCGATATCCTCGTTCGTATCTGCTGCAGGTGCCGTCAGCACCTGCTCATCACCGGCGACGCGCTCCGCTGGCTTCGCCGCAGCAGGCACCTCCGGCACCTGCACTTCTTCAGCAGCGCGCTCCTCTGGCAGCGACGCAATAGGCTCCTTTTGCACCTGCGCGTCATCTCCGATGACGATGTCGAAGTCCAGCAGCTCACTGCTGTCTCCTTGGACTCGTGTGAACCACGCCTGCGTGGTCGATTCCTGCGTGGAATGTGCCTGTTCCTTGGCATCTTCCTTGGCATCCTCTGCCTCATGCGAAATGCGGAGCGGGCAATCGTGCCACCCGTGCTCGGTGGAGTTGTGGTAGTATGTACCTGCATCTGCCACGATGGTTTCGGCCGGTATCCTGGCCCATTACTCCACCTCCGGAGGCTTGGCGTCCGCTACCTCTCCCACGTGCACAGTGCGCATTTCCCGCGCTACCCCCTCCGTTCGAGGTCCCACCGACGTTGTTGTTGTGCCCGGAAGCGGCGGTATCCATGTACACACCCTCATGTTCTCGGCGGGCGCGTTCTTGTCCACGGCACGAAAAACGTTGGTGTACGCGACCAGCTCCTCATGCTGTGTCGCGGCAGGTGGTTCCTTGCCCAAAACAAAGGTCCACCGAAAAGCGAAAGACCCGTGGCGAAGTCCCACCACCTGCAAAATGCAACCCGACAATGTACAAATCGGAGCAACATGAAGCGCTGATACGAAGTATCGTCCCGTTAATCAGAATTCGCGAATATCGAGGTCGATCTGCTTTTGTTTTGTGTGCATGTCTTCTCTTCCTTCGTCGAGGCAAAGGTTCAGCATCGGGCTCGCCCATGTTTTGCAGTACCATGGTACAAGATACGGTACATAGCAGCCAGGATCTTTCTATCAAGAACTTGAGGGTTCACAAGTTCAAGGTACAAGAACCTGCCCATCAGAACAAAAGTACCAATAACTCCTACGTGCCCCCAAACTCGCAAACATGATGCACCAGGGCGGGTATCGATAGGAAGGAAGAGCCAAAACAGTTCGACTGCAAGAAAAGAACGTGGCTGGTGGGAGGGGGGTGGGAGTTGGGGGATGATCCCTCAACCCCCCATCGGGGAGCCCCTCGTGAATGCTGGATTGAACCTTCCCTTTTTCTGGTCCAGACTGCATGAAGCTACCGTTGGAAGAGCAGTGAAGGCTGGTAGGTAGGCTCGTGGACTATGCTTGAGTCGGAACACGGCTGGACAAAGAGGTAGTAGATGTAGATGGAGCTACCATGCAGTAGAGAGTTTGCAAAACCGGCATAACACTTGCTGCGTCCAAAGTCACCCTTGTGGATCAAGAAATAATTGTAGGTTTTGAATACCTTTCTTTGCAGCCTCACTAACGTACATAAACATTGTAATGAGCCGCGGAGCGCGAAGCGCGATCGTTCTTTCGCCTCCGTCCCAGGAGGGAAAAAACAGGCTCCAAATATCGGCCAAAGTTGCGCCGCGCGATACAGGGGCCCCGAAACTTGATTTCCGGGAAGCCGATATAGCCCACCTTTGGAACCAGAACGAAATCTCTAGGGCACCGATTGACGATCTGTTCGCTTATGAGAAAGAAGAAAAATAGTGCGCTCTTTGTCACCCCGGTTTGGTCGTGCTTCGGCAACAGATGGCTGTGCTTCACAGGCGTATGTGCCAAAAATTCATAGGAGAGATCTTGCTCCCCAACCCCGGGGTTTCTACGCGAAAAGGCGTACCCAAAAACGGAGATCGCGCGCGCGCGCAATTGAAACCACAGGAGAAGAAACAGAGACAGGGACGCAACAACACGAACAAAAAACGCATCATCACCGGTAGGACGCTCATCCGAGACCAGCTTTGAACACAAGGAAGGGCCGAGGCTATACGACCTGCGCACCGTGGATAGTCATGTGCAGTGTGTAACCCAGCCGCGGTGTTTGTTGATGTTGAGTGGGTCCAACCGACTGCCAATAGAACAGCAGACCGATCAACTGGACCGACGGATGATCACAAGCCAAAGTTGGTGACACACCTTCCCAAGTTCAGATCACACTTACCATCGAGAGAAACCGTCGAGGGGGCGATGGTCCACTGCTGCGGTGCGCTATCAGGACGGTTACCCGGGATCAGTTCAGTCAGGTTGCTGCGTACTTGCGCCGCGCTACTGGCTGTCTTTACAAAGCAGGATGCTGTTGCTGCTGCTGGGGCTCTCCCATCAACGTCATGGACATCCACTTTTTTATTGTTTTTGGTGGATGTGTTGTTTTTGTTGTCGTGATACCCCGTGATTAATGCAACTGCTTGCTTTCACTTGAGGAGATTCGGAGGCTCGATCCTCGAGACGAATGTGGCGGGCATCTGTCTGTCACGCTGTCTGTCATCATCCCATGTCTGTCTACGCTGCTGGTGCTCGTGCTCCTCGGCGGTGTGATGTGTGATACACTCGCCGCCAGGTACATGCCGCATGCATGCCTCTTCCAGATGTGCATGTTTGCCTCCGCACGGCGGGAAGACTTCATATTTTGGTTCTTCGTGGGTGTATGCATATGTATGCATGTGCATCAACGGAAAAGAAACTACCACATAAAAGTGCAAAATTTCTGCAAAATTCTGAATGGGCCGCACATACAACCATCGTCGCACCTGTCGCACCCGTCCCTCTGGTGCACGGCGCAGCTGCACCACAAACATCATTCGTGCACCATCAGCGTCGCAGATAAGACTACTGGGAGGTATTGAGTCGCTACCCCACCCTATCTAGTACCAAAGAATGATCGCAGAAGCTCTTTGGTTTTGATACAAAGAGTCCTGTCGTGTTCCAAGATCTCAGGATAGGGGGAAACTCTGCCGTGAGCTTGCGGTGCAAAAACTAAAGAACGGATTCATTTGCCCCCCAAAAAACACTATGAACGTTGTCGTACATGGGGTAGTCATTTTGTTGGTGAGAAAACAACATGACCTTGGCAACACAAGCGGCAGACGCCTGGCCGATACTATAAGAGGTACTCGGTTTGGGGCAGCCACTAAGGCGCGCACCTCACGAAAGAGCTCCATACGTGATGCCCTTCGCGGCATATGGCTTCACACGCTCTCCCACATGTAGTCTCGTGCCCCAGCGCCGACGACGCTAGCCTTCACCAGATACTGTAAGGTATGTGGAAGAGAGGGACCGCGAGTCGCCATCGTCCTGGCACAAATAAGAGCAGCAACCAAAGCAAACAAAGATAATTCCGAAGAAACTGTAAAAAAACTGATGCTATTATGGTTTTCGGGCAACTCCTACCAACCTACACCCAGACGACAATCGCCCCTCTCGATAGTCCTGGTTGGTCAGCCTCCACTGCTGTACTGTAGCGTTGTTGACATAAAACTATTGTTGAACGTTGTCAGGGTATAGATACGTTGTGCTGCGAGTACCACTCGTCTTAGTCTCTGCTCGCTCGCCCTTGATCAAGCAAGTAAGTCCTCCCAGCAGCATAACAGCCCCCCACCCCACCCCCCGCTCTTCGGGGACAATCAAGACCAACGCCGCACGGTCGTCAATGTCACTTTTTGGCACGCTGTCCCGGGTGGGAGGGGCTCGCCTCGTCCTTCCCGGCTCGGATCTACGACAAATTTCCCAAGGTCGACGCCTGTGGTAACGAAGGCGGGGGGTAAAGGGAAACAAGCAGGGAGCCGCTCCAGCAAGCACGGCTGCCTTCTTTGTTTTTTTGTCCGGCTGCATAGAGGCGGGCGTGGACTGGAAGGAGAGGAATTACTTGGACTTCAGCTGCCGCGGCTAGGTGTTGATTTTGATGCGGCCTTTGGCGCTGCTTTCGTTACTACGACGGCCGTGGCGCGGGCACCAGTACCCATATGCTCCTGCTCACGCCCGAGGCAGCCGTTGCGGCAGTGCCATGCGACGGGGCTCGCCCGGGCAAGGCCTTGTCCGACGTCCCCTCGAGAGCATACAAGTTAAGTCGGCCCATTGAACCCACGTCCCCATTGCCCCCCCCCCCCCCTTCTTCATCCCGAAATATATATACATCCAGACTCCAGCAACCGTCGGCCGTAACAGCGTCAATCGCGACACCGTCGACTGACGACTCGTCTCTTCCTGGCTCCCCTGCATGTCTCACCGGTTCCATCCTTGGAGTCGCCCCATGAACCTCTCCACTGGTTCTACTGTCGTTTGACACCTCCTTTCTACCCTTGCCGCCGCCTCGAAGCTAGCGAAGCCGCCGGGGCAGAACTGACCAGCTCTTCTTTGAGCTGAGAGCTGTGAACGCGAACCGGAGAGAGGTCCGTTTCTCCTGTCGCTGGACCGTGCGCTGTCGGCGGGACTGTCAAATCGGCGTTCTCGAGAAAAAGCCAATTTCCATTTTCTGTTGAGTAGGCGGCGGAATTTCGATCAGCCATCCAATCAGATCAGCGCATTTTCGGTTCCTCTTTTTTCTCTCTTTTTTTTTCCCCCTTCTCCCATCCGCCCATCCGCCCCTCCCTCCGCTCCCCCCGCCCCACACACATTCACAAGCTCACAAGCTCAAAAAGAAACAGCGGCAACAGCAGAAGAGCTGCTAAGGACCGCCAAAGCACAGTGAAATTTTCGGTAAAGCAGGACACATCCCATCAAGTACCCAGCGCCCATGTACGATGTATCTGACGAAGACAGATAGAATACAGTCATGTCGGGTGAGAGCCCTCACGAGCTCAACACGTTCGCCGCCGCCAGGGATCAAGGTGCAGCGGCGGCCAGCCAATATATCACCCAGGACGGCGAACATGAATCCTCATCGAACCGCACAGGTCGGCGAGGGCAACGTCAAGCACCGTGGCGGGACGGCGGTGAGTAAGGGGTGTGTAGCCTAGGCCAGATCCGTGTGAGGTTGTCTTGCTCGCGGACGGTATCATGTGATAGAGCTCGTGTTAGTTACGTATGTCTCGGCTGATCTCCTTGAAAGATCCAGAACAGAAATACTGCAGTCATGTCGCCGCGGTGCTTGCTTGACGTTGCCCTCGCTGACCCGTGCGGTTCGATGAGGATTCATGTTCGCCGTCCTGGGTGATA